CCTTCAATCTTGCTTGTCAGATGAGGACATTTTTGACTGCTAGTCACTCTTTCTGATATATTATATTTTACTTTTCTACAAAATATGCTTTATTGATTTCAAAAGCATTAGACACTATATATTGATTTCCATATCTGATTAGGACTTAGCATTTCTGCCTAAAAGTCTTACCATACATTTCCCTATCATCTCTCCAGACAGTAGCACATTTTTGTGGATGCAGTTGCATTGAGTTTACATCACATCCATGAAAACATTGTTTCCTGTTGAGCCAAATGTCATTACCTTTCTTGTACACCTTATTGCATTTCCTGAAGTTAGCAGGTCACTCCTATCTATTTACTGACTTTGGCAATATTTTTAAAAGGTCACTGTCTCTTATTTTATGAGGGTGGAGTGGGGAATGGGATCAAAAACACTGGGGGGAGGGAAATGCACTGGACTATGGTGATGGCATAGGGTGATTTGGTAATGGGAAGCCCTCAGGGAATACAATTGAGATGAAAAAATGCACAAAATGATGTAAAATGAGCTATTATATTAAAAAATAAATAACATTCCCATTGATTTTTAAAAAAATTAAACATTAAAAAAAAAAGTTCAATCTCCACAATGAGGCGTCTAATGCATCAGAGAACTGCGATTCAGACTTAGTTCCTTTGGGTCTTGTTCCATTTTCCCCCAGAATCTCTTCATTTTTACCCTCCCATATGTGTTCTTACTTACTGCTCAGTTATTGTCTAGCTGCATCCTGACCACTTCCAAGAGCCCCCTTGACTCTTTTCTTTATTGAGGACTTGCTCCCTTCATCCTTTATCTTCTTCTTTCTTGGCTTACTCTTACTTTGATAGAGCACATCCTTCAATAACTTCTGAGAAAGAACGTATTACCTTATTAAAGTCTCAGAGCACTTACTTCAAGTTTTTTTTTTTTTTTAAGATTTTTTTTTTTTTTTTTTTTTTAAGATTTATTATTTGTGCATACAGAACTGGGGTACAGGCCAGAGGCTCAGGGGCGGTGAGAAGCTTCACTAGAGACAGAGTATGGAACAGAACAGGCAGATCGACGAAGTACACTGCTGAGGGGAGCAGCGGGCGGGTCAGGAGAGGTCTGCCACGGCATGTGGTCACCTCCTGGGCAGGCGGGAATCGAACTCATGCGGAAGCAGCTTTACATTCTCAGTGCTGTGCTTTAACCCGCTGCGCCACCAGGGAGGGCCATACTTGAAGGTTTTAATATCAGCCTCACTTTAAAGAAGCAGAAACATTAACCTCTGAGAGTTTAAGTAACTTGTTCCAGGTCACAAAGCTAGTGGAAGAGAAAGCATTTTCTCGAGTCCTATTTCCTTCTTGTAATAAGCTCTGATTTTGCGAAGATGGACTTTCCCTAAAGAATCAGGCAGAATGCCAAGGAAATCTATGTCAACAGATGCTATTATATTGTAACTGTTCAGATTTCTGCTAGCTATAGGGATAATGAAACTAATGCCTTGTGTCACTTTTTACATGAGAGAGAAACCTGTTAGGTCACCAATCATCCATTGTCTTTGCCACAGATTGTCCCTGGTCCCCATAACAGACATAGAAAAGCAGCTTCAAAAATTTATGTAATATCAAAAGACTAGTGGAGTGG